ATGAATTTGGTTAGAAGTCGCGATGAGGAGGCACGCGCGGGAACGACGGTAACAACAGGGTCCGGGCACTCGTGTGCCCGCTTCCCATGCATTTAAAACGGGGACGCCGGCCGTAAATCACGCGGTTAGAGCGGAGCCCAGCCGCGTAGCGTAACGACGGAGATGTCCGTCCGTCCGTTCGTACGCCTCGTCTCGTGGTTGCCGCCGCCACCGCCGCCGCCACGTGGTTTCTGCGGCAAAACTATGCGGCCACCGCCGCACGCCGGCCCGGCGAATTTATGAATGGGAGAAGCCTATTGACAGATCGCGCGTCGATAACTCTCTCGTTAATGGCCCGTGATGGTGGGCGCACGAGGGCCGGTGGGACGAAGGAGGCGGAGGTGCTCGGAGGGAGGGTGGGAAGTAGGGGAAACTTGGACTCACTTTGTACTGACTCGCGGCGCGCCGTGCCGACGGGCCGTTGCCGTTGCCGTTGCCGTTGCGATATGCAGCATAGCAGCGATCCAAGGTAACGCGCGGGAACGCGAGTTCCGAAATCGATCGAAATAATGCATCGCGGAGTATAGTACGCTTAGCGCGTTCATCCCGCGGCGTGCAGAGAGAAATGCAATATTGAAATCTGGTTTTGAGCGCGCGCGTACATAAGCTTTCCACCACGAGTCGAATATTATACTTGATAATTTCAAGTTTGTATTAAAAAATATATATGTGGAGAGAGAGAGAGAGAGGGGGGGGGGATTGTCTATTACATAAATATTAATATAAAAATTAAATAATTTCCGTACTGTGTAGCTTTCATTACTTTAGGCTGAAACTGTTTTCAAGATTAATGAAGCGAGATCCATTCTCATATGCAATCTCGGTTATTAGCGTACACGTTTTTGGTCAGCGGTTTGCCTCTCGGCATCAAATCAAACGCGCGGTCCGGTATCGCCACGCCGCTTACGTCGATAATACGGAAATACATTGCGAACAGAAATAGATTTCGCGGAGGAGTTATGTCACATACATTGCACTATCCGATGAATCGATGACACTCCTGTTTATACACGCATTTCAATAAAATTTACCGCTATAGAAGTTTAGTAAGTCAGCCTGCGTATTCAGTGCCGATGCTCGCTCGGTTTGCGCGAAACTGGAGTTTGTTTATCATCAGCGAAATGTAGAGACTCAGCAAGAAGTTAAATATACGCGCGCTTATGTGAAAAAATACAGATTATATTTGCACTATAGCCTGGTAAGAATATTTCAAGAGTTTATTCAATATGCATTGGTTGTTTTATTCAATCTCTCTATTAAAATTGGTCCAAGATAATTTAAAATGATTGAATTAATATTAAAAATGTTTATCGTTCTTTTAAATATTGAGAGAAAATATCTGCATGTTGCGCAGAGAAATTGTATGAATCATTAAAACAATTACAATAAGTACCATTTAGAATTTATTATTACGTTCAAAATTAAAGATTAATATAGAAATGAAAATATTTAATTCGACGAGTACATTAACTTACTAGTATTCCTTTTAGTGTGTCTTATGATACGAAAATGGATACTTTTAGCTATACGATATAATAGTAATATTATATAAAATTGATGGATTTATGTCAAACCTTGATATTATTTAGATCATTATTATTTTATTGCATCTCACTGATTTAAATAAAAATAGTCAAATTCTAGCTCGATATTTCCAATTAGGCTAATAATGCTATAAACCTCCACTTCTTTTAAAAATAACTTAAAAGTGCTGCTCCAGAAACTTAATGAGTGAGAATAAAATCCCCATCACTTATACTATTACATTAATAATATACATTATTACGTAATTATAAAGTCAAAGGTTACGAATACCTTGTATTTCACGGCTCACCGAATTGAAGGACACTACTCTTATAATAATCTTTCCTTTAAATTTATAATAAACCCCCGTTTTATCTGGAACCAGTTTATATCGCGCCGGTAACTGAGATAGACGAGGATTCATCTAGAAGGGTTAAGAGCGCGGGCGCGAATTTTTCCGTTCAAGTTTAACGATGCGCCGGCAACACGCGCATACCGAGACAACCATTTGTCGCGTACGACGCGAAACCACGTGGAAAAACTGGCTGGTTTTGTCGGTCATCGGGCCACCGGCCGTCGGAAGCGCCGAAAAACCCTCTCCTCTTCTCATCTCTTCCTCCTCCTCCTCCCTCCCCCTGTGCTTGCGCCACCTTCATCCCCTAGACTCACTGTACACTGCTGATTTATCGCTACCCAAATTTTGGCGCGTCCGTTCCACGTTCGTGCGCCAATTTTAAGCAGAATCGCAACGCTCGTCCGTTGGCAAGTAAATTACCGATTACTTTCGTCCACGTTCGATGAAAATCATTATTACAGTTATTATTCCTAATTTCCTCTCGTTCGAGTCGGATCTCATCTAATTTTAAAAGAATATATAACGTAAACTCTTCAGATCAGTAGGGAATGCGAGTATCGAAGAAAAGATATTGAGATATATTTCTATACGATATTTGTTTTGAATATTCGTGTTCACTTTTTGCATTGGAAGATTTTCAACCTCTAGAAATGTTGACGAATTTTAGAAATCCTTCGCTAATCCCTCTCAATCCTATCCGTTTAAATAGTTTTTGCAGCGTAAATCTACGTAAATTTGCATAAATTCGCACAGGCAAACAGTTTTGAACAGTCTCAGGTTTTGAACGGCACGAGATACGTTTACACATTTCGTTGTGGATCATTTAGCCTGAATGGTCCGAAAAGAATATCCAAAGGTAATCCTATTACATTTAACATTCAATAAGTGGCTATCGTTTGTATATACAATAGATCGGTCAGTTTCTTTCATCTTATTTCGGACATCTCTATTATAGAAATGTATCGTTGAAAGCAAACCATAAAAGTGTGGCTCTACGGTATAATTTCTCAAGAATAAACTTGCAAGTCATGCAAACAAAATAGTGTTTGTGGTCAACACTCGAAGTGTCATATGATCATTTGGAGTCATCCCGTTTGCTTTCAATACCGAAAAACAGTAGATGACAAATCGATTCCCAATTTTAATTCAAGAGTTAAAATTCTGGTGCAATAATGTCGGAATTAAAAAAATTATACGATATGGATTGAAAAAGCATTCTAATTAGTTTCAAAATTTAACAGACTCATTTATGTGGTAAATGAAGTTTGCGAATAATAATTTTCTAATTAAATTGTAGTTTTACATTACATTTTGTATCCCGCAATCTACACAATCGTTGTCGAAGAACATGGAATATTCGGTGTGGAACATTATTTGCAAATTTTTTACGAGACGGTGCAAAGATGAACAGATCGGGGTCTAAATAACGCATGTGACGGTAACCTTTCGCGGCGAGAAATATCTCTGAAAACAATTCGGATGGCACAGAATTATGACTCGTGCGCGTTCTCTTCGTGGATTACGATTCGACGATATCGCGCCCCTCTCCTTCGATTTTGTCGCAAAACATTTCGCGCCGCTCAAAGACCTCGTGATGAAAAACAATCGCTAGGAAGAGAGAGAGACAGGATAAGAGGAAAAAGGTAAAAGGACGAAAGTGAGGGAGAGAAAGGTGGAGAGTGGATAACTCCGAGAGAGAAAAAGAGAATGATTGGGGGGAGGAGGGGGAGAGAGAGGGAGGAAGAGAGAGAGAGAGAGAGAGACGCAGCAAAAGCGAATATGTCTTTAAAAACACCCCCCTAGAGCAGATCGGGTTGTTGTCGTCGTGGTAACCATGACGACGCTGCCCCTTGATGGTTGGTTATAACCGTATCCCCACCAAGCGTCTCCGAGCCGACGCTAGGTTTCCTCGCGGCGCTGGCCAAGCGAAGAGGAGGCAGCCAGCAGCCTCGGGCGATCTCTCTCACCCTCCACCCCGCTGCTCCCCGCCGTGCTCCATCCTCACCACTCGCCTCTGCCGCGCTCTCCGATAACCCCCCTTCTCGTCCCAAACCCCACCGCGCTATCAAGCTGCCGCTGTCGCTCGTTCTCCACCCCTCTCTTTGCGCGCTCCCCGCTGACTCCACCGACTCCACCGGCCCACACAGTACGCAACGCAAGCCACCTCGTCGTTCCCCCTCGGCGGGCTTCGCCGCCTCGTCATCCTCTTTCCCCTTGCGGCCGCCCTCCTGCCGTCCCTGCCTCCCCCCGCCGGGCCAAGGAAACGCGGGATCGCTTCGAATTCAAACTACCGAACACGAGGTTACCACGCGTCAAATCTGACACTTGGTCGTCCTACGCGTGCTCCGCGTCTCGTGCTCGCCGCCGTACATTTTTTTTTTTTTTTACGGCTGTTTTTCGCTCGTGGTTTCCGAAAGCGAGCGAATCAGTACGGGAACGTCGATCGATTTTTCGAGAACGATGTTAAGCGCGATGCCGCGCCGTGAACGAACGGCCGAGTCCTTATTTTCGTGTCCTTATCTTCTTTCGTTCACCTTTTCTCTTTTGTACCCGAAGGAAGATAACTTCGTCATTCGACGAAGGTGGAAATTTTCCCGAGACGGCAAACTTGAATGACGTTCGTCGAGCGGATCGTTGAAAGCGTGACGTTGGGACGTTAAAAGTTTTCCTCGACAGAGAGATATCCGCGTCTTACGTCGCGTCAGTCGTGTTTCACGCGTACCGTACTTCGTAACGTCGTTACAGGAAAAAGAAAAAGAGTAAAAAAAGACGTAAAGTCCCGACGGGGAAAAATACTCGCGCGCGAGTCGGCCTCCTACGTTCGTGCTGCTCCGCGAGCGGCGAGACTCCGAGAGCCGAACGCGCGATCACGTAACCCGCTCTCCTCGGCCGGCACGTAACGCGGAAACGCGGCACGCGTGTCGTACACGCCGAAGCCGAAGGAAGGGAACGCACACACGGGGGAGCGCGGGAGTGCGCCAAGGAGGGGATAGGGGGTTGCGGGAAAAAAGGACGGCGGCCGAGAGCGGCGCACGCGAGAGCAAGAGAGAACGATGCGCGCGGAACCGCGCGCGAAACTCACCTGACTGACGTCGCACCACATTATTATTTCGCTGACACTGACGACAGCATCTTGGTACGCTGCTGCTGCACTGCCGCGCACGGTGCTACCGCGACGGTCCGTTTTTTCCTTCGCTCTCCGCGTGACTTGGAGATTCGTCGTGAGAACCGAGAGAAAAGTAGCCGGAACCGACCAACGGCGGTACGTGGAACCGAAGTTCCACGTTACTTCGGCCGTGGGCACGATGAAGTCCTGTTCCGCAAATGCCCGTCCTCTCTCTCTCTCTCTCTCCCTCTCTGTCTTTCACGCTCTCTCACACTGTCTTTTCTCACTTCTCGTCTCTTTCTCGGTACGTGTCTGTTAGCGTTTCGTTATTTTCTTTTGTTTTTCTTTTACTTTTATGTAACTCACAGTCTCACGAAAAACGCACTGCGCGACGTTAAGTATCGGCCGCCGGTAGCCCGGTTAGCTCCTCAAGTAACATCGCACGATCACTCCGAACAGATGACAACGCGACTGTCATCGACACACACGACAGCAGCTAGCTGGCCATGCAAAGCATTACTGAGTACTCTGACAACACTCCTCGCCGAGTAGCGCCGCTCGGTTTTCCCCCGAACGCGTGCTCGGCCGATTCCGCCGGCGTTCGGCCCACCTGCACTCCGACACGAACGTCAGTGCCGTAGACGCGCGTCCAAGTGCCCACCGTCCTTACCACGCAAGTCGCAACGCGCGCTTTGTGTCCCATCGAATTTCACATTGACGCAGAAACTATAATGCGACGTACGATCGTTCGGGGATCGCGATCATTCGGAAACAATTTCTTATCGCGACTAGCAAAATTGTCGCCAATGTTTTTGAAAAAGAAAAAAAAAAGAAAGAAATATAAGCCTGCGACTTATGGCAATTGTTTCGATTGACGATAACATATGTTTGCGGTGTTCTTAACGTGACATTTCGAGAGAAAAAGTCGATCGCTCGCAGGGCGCATAATGCCATATTGTTTAGCGCCCCGAACGCCCTGATGTAATTGATATAAATGGAAGGATACGTTTCATTCACGGCGCGTAAATTAATTACATAATTAATATCGGATTTAATATATCGTAGGACTATGTATATGTCACTCTGACCGTTTGCGAAAGGAAATTCATTGTCGAAGTGTGTGCAGCTTTTCAGATATAAACAATGCTTTTATGTCGAATGATTGGTGGCGCTCATTAGCGCGCGGGATGGACGAGGATGGGTTTTGCGTCGCGGTATATAATAAAAGAAACAGATTCTCTCTAGGATTCGCCCGTCAAATATCCTCTCTTTCTCCCTCTCTATCACACTTTTTTTTTCTCTCTCTCTCAGAAAGTTCCGCGCTCCCCGTGCGATCGAGAAAAATCGTTGTGTTCGAGAAAGTCCGTGATAGCGCGGGCCGGTCGATGAAAGTTATCGGAGAACGGATCGGCGACGGCCGCTGAAATATTTCAGCGACGCAGCAAAAACTCAAAATGACTTTGCGGGCGCGCAGTCCGCGCGCGGATCGCGCCGATTCCCGGCTCGTCGCGTCGTGCTGCTTAATATCTTACGAGACGACCGAGATAGCACGGTCAATCGCGCCACTGCGCGACGCCAGGACCTTGCGGCCAGCAAGGTAATCACGCGCTCGCGAAGCGAACAGCCGCGCGAAACGACGGAATGTTTTCCGTGTCCCCGACATTTCTCTTGTTCTCCGCACGAAAATCGAAAAAGATTTGTCGACAGTCCATTTGTCCAATTACCTTTAATATTCATCAATATCTATCTATCCATCTATCTATCTACATATATTATATATTATATATATATATATATGTATATGTATATGTATACACATATATATGTGTGTGTGTGTGTATGTATAAATAATATGTTCGATATTCTCTTTTACTTCGCGCGATATTATTTATCGATACGCTCGCGATATTGCGTCGAAATTAACATGGAATTGTTGCAAGATGATTGAAATGAGAATAACATATTATAATTAATTAACTCGAAAGGAGAGTCTACTTTGTTAAATTTCGAAAATGTTGAATCGGCACGAAGCGACGTTCGCATGTCAGATATTGAAGAGGAAAAAAAGGGGAGAACCGAGAGAAAACGGAGAAAAGGACGGGCAAAGAGGAACTCGCGCGCGCGGGAGTGAGCGTGTCCGTGAGTAAATTTTCACGCGGCCTTAAAAACGTAAGTATATAGAGGCCTTTGGAGGTTCAGGCGTCGAGACTGTCGAGAGCGGCGTCGAGAGGGCCGAGAGCGGGCAGCCTTCACCGGGGAACCTCCGGTGCATCGTGCAGGGGCCCCCGAACACGAGGGAGT